CATGGATTTAAAGTTAAATCAAAAATCCCCCTAAACCAAAGATCAACAACGAATGACTTTCGTCGCACAGAAAAAAGGATAACCCACAAAGGGGAAGGAGATAGCAACAACAAGAAGAAGAAAAAAAACAGAAAAAGAAATAAAATAACCAACAAGTGCTTTCCATGCGAAATGCTGAAACAAATCTGAATCTGAAAGTGAAATGAATGAGAGAGTACTTTAACACAATTTCCTTTGCATTAATTTTATGAGTTAACGTTGTTGTCATCGCCATCACCGGAGACTATGCGACTGTGTGATACATCCTGCCTGCCCCCAGGCGGTCGTCGATGGGTTGTTGTTTTGCGTTTTCCCAAGCATTTCTACATTTGTTTGATACATTTCTTTAAAGTTCAACCTTCATAGTTAATCTAAAAGACAAACAGCAATTCATCCTTGAGGCCAGAAGTTATGCTTCGGACCTGCCACCCTTTCCATATTTTTATTTGCCGGAGGGGGATTTTTCAAAAACCTCGAGGTTACGAAGACACGTTTGTCTTTTTATTCTTCTTCACATTTCACTACAAAAGATTATTGTGGCATAAAGAGGGTAATGGACACTTCTTTGTAAATGGGAATCTCCTTTTCGCCTGCTCTGTCCTCTCTTCTTCTTCTTGCGCTCCTCAGATTGTAAAGTGTAAAAGCGCATAATTTCATTATAATGACCAGTCAGCTATCTCTTCGAAAATACGTTTTTGCTTAGCAGCCACGTTTCTTGAAGATAATGGTCTTTTAGGGTTAATAAGGGTTAGTTTTTTTTCTTATCCTGTACGAAGGATAACAATATCCTTGACCTATATTTATAAAATTAAGTAAGTGAAATTTAATATCTTTCATTGGTTGGAGTTCAAGAGAACAAAATTTAAAAAATAGGAAGAAAAAATTAAAGAGAATTGCCAAATGACCAATTGTGCGTATAATTGATATTATCTAGGGATAATGTTGCGTATAATTAATTTTATTTGGGGTAACATAGAGCGTATTAGTAATATTAATTAATACTACAATAGAAAAACGATTCCAGTCATTTATTTTAGGGAGAAATTGGGACCTACGCGTAAGAGTCTGAAATTATCAAAAAAAATTGTCTTTTGCGTATCTATTTCTTTCCGTTTTTTATCGATATCTAGTAGGTATATCGATTTCTTGTGTTTGGAGACTGTTAGTGATATTTGATGGAGAATATTTTTTCCTTTAGTCGTCATGCCGCTTAAATCACGTTTTAGGGGAAAAACTTGGCCCCAAATAGAAAAATCTCAAATTTATTCCAAAAAAATTGTATCTTTTGCGAATGCAATTTTTTCGGTTTTTTACCTATACCTAGTAGGTATACCGATTTCTTGTGTTTGGGGACTTATAGTGAAATTTGATGGAGAATACTTTTTCCTTCAGTATCATCCCGCATAAACCACTTTTTAGGGAAATTTCTTGGCCCCAAATCGAAAAATCTCAAAATTATACCAACAAAATTTTTGTCTTTTGCGTTTGCAATTTTTCCCATTTTTTACCGTTACCTAGTAGGGATAACGATTTTATGTGTTCGGTATCTTATAGTGAAATTTTATGGGGAATATTATTTTCTTTAACAACATCCCGTTAAAAGCACTTCTTAGGGGAAAAATTCGGCCCCGAATGGAAAAATCTCAATTTTTTTCAGAAAAATTTTTATCTTTTGCGTTTGCAATTTTTCCGATTTTTTACCTATATCTAGTAGGTATACTGATTTCTTGAGTTTGGGAACTTATAGTGAATTTCGATGGAGAATATTTTTACTTTATTATGATCCCGCTTAAATCACGTTTTAGGGGGAAAATTCGACCCCAAAATCGAAACATCTCAAATTTATTCCAAAAAAAATGTTATCTTTTGCGTAGGAATTTTTCCGATTTTTCACTGATATCTAGTAGGTATACCGATTTCTTGCGTTCGGTGATTTATAGTGAAATTTGATGGAGAATATTATTCCCATTAACAACATTCCGTTAAAACCACTTCTTAGGGGAAAAATTCGGCCTCAAATCGAAAAATCTCAAAATTATACCAAAAAAAAACTATTTTTTTCATGTGCAATTTCTCAGATTTTTTAGGTATACCTAGTAGGGATACCGATTTCTTGTGTTCGGTGACATATAGTGAAATTTGATGGAGAATACTTTTTCCTTTAGTATCATCCCACTTAAATCACGTTTTAGGGCGAAACTTCGACTCCAAATCGAAAAATTTCAAATTTATTCCAAAAAAATTGTTATCTTTTGCGTTTGCAATTTTTCCGATTACTTAGTAGAGTTACCGATTTTATGTGTTCGGTAACATATAGTGAAATTTGATGAATATTTTTTCCCTTAGCAATGTCCCGCTAAAACTGCTTTTTAGGGGAAGAATTCGGTCTGAAACACAAAAATCTCAAATTTATACCATCAAATCGGTTATCTTTTGTGTATGCATTTCTTTTCGATTTTTCACCGATATCTAGAGTACATATCGATTTTGGTGACCTTCGTGAAATTCCTCTAGTGAAATTCGATTGAGAATATTTTCTACTTTAGTCTCAATCGGCTTAAACCACTTTTTATGGGAATCGAAGAGTCTCAAATTTATTCAAAAAACAATTTTTTGCGTAACTATTTTCTTTCCTATTTTCAACCAATACCGAATGGTATAGGTTGAAAAATGTTCGGTAACTTATAGCGAAATTTTGTTCCTTTAATATCATCTCGCTTAAATGAGTTTTAAGGGAAAAATTTGGCCTCAAATCACAGTATCTCAAATTTATTCCAAAAATCTATTTTACATTTTATGTAGATTTTTCATTCCGATTTATTATATCATTCTGATTTATTATACCTACAAGAGAGATCGATTTCTTGTGTCCCGTGACTTATAGTGAAATTTAGTGGAGAATATTTTCCCCTTTAACATCAACATGCCAAAATCGGGATTTATGGAAGAAATCGGCCGAAAACAAAGTTTCTCAAAATTATCCCCCAAAATGTTATCTTTTGCCTATCCATTTTTTTCCGATTTTTTACGGATACCGAGTAGTCATACGAACTTCTTTTGTTGGATGACTTATAGTGAAATTTCCTGGAGAATATTTTCCCCTTTAACATCAAGCATATTCGACTATATATTTTTGGAAAAAATTGGGTCCTAATCGAAAGACTTTGAAATTATGCCAAAAAAAAAATATTTCGATTTACGTAGGTATTTCTTTCCGATTTTCACAGGTACCTAGTAGACATAGCGATTTCTTGTGTTTGGAGATTTCTCATGAAATTCTATGGAGAATATTTTGTTCTTTAGGATCTTAACGATTAAACAACTTCTTAGGGGACAAATTTGACAAATAATATTTTTTCCAATTTGTGGCCCTAGTTGCGTATGATTGTTTTGAATAGATTTTTATTTTTGTCGATTTGAAATGATTTGCTTCTAACTTTTTTAATTGCCAATCGATTTTCTTCATTCAAAAGGTATTTTGTTCAAGAAATATTGACTTTTTAATTTCTATAAATAAATTTTATTTATTATTTAGATAATATATAAATGTTTGGCCCCAAACCAAGTAGACTCAAAATCATCTAAAATATTATATTTTTCGTAGCTATTTCTTTCCGATTTTTACTGGTACCTAGAAGACATAGTGACTTCTCATGTTCCGTGACTTATAGAGAAATTTAATGGAGAATATTTTCTTCTTTAACATTAACTTGCTAAAACTAACTTTTAGGGAAGAAATCGGCCCCAAACAAAGTTTCTCAAAATTATCCTCAAAAAGGTTATCTTTTGGGTGTCTAATCGGTATCGATTTTTACCGATACAGATTGGTCATACGAACTTCTTGTGTTGGGTGACTTATAGTGAAATTTCCTGTAGAATATTTTTCCCTTTAACATCAAGCGTCTCCGACTTTATATTTTTGGAAAAATTGGGTCCTAATCGAAAGACTTTGAAATTATACCCAAAAAATTATCTTGATATGCGTAGGCATTTATTGCCGATTTTTTACAGTTACCTAGTAGACATAGCGATTTTTTTTGGTTTGAGAATTTCCCATAAAATTTTATGGAGAATATTTTTTTCTTTAAGATCATACCGCTCAGACGACTTCTTAGAGGATTAATTCGGCCTCAAATAAAAACAAGTCTACAAATAAACCAACATTTTTGTGTTCTTTTTGTAGGCAATTTATTTCCGATTTTTAACTGATAAATATGATATATACCGACTTCTTGTATTCAGCGAATTGTATTGACATTTTATGGAGAACATTATTTTCTCTAACATCACCCACCTCTGACCGCTTATTTTCGGAAAAATTGGACCGCAAAGCAAATGACCTTGAAACAATCCCAAAATATAGTTTTTCGATTGTTTTCTGATTTTAAATTTATTTTGGACCCAGTATGCCTATTAATAAAATATTTTCATTTGTGGTACCCCGCAACGTATGACTAATAATAATTTGTATTAACTTGTGGACCCGGTTGCGTATGATTATTTTTAATAGATTTTTATTTGTGGCGATTTGAAATGATTTGCTTCTAACTTGTTTGATTTTCAATGGATTTTCTTGATTCAAAGGGTATTTTGTTCGGGAATTATTGAATTTTTAATTTTATTAATGAAAATTATTATATAAATGTTGGATAATATATAAATTTGACTATTAATTTTTTGGATCCTGTTGCGTATGAATATTTTTAATAGATTTTTATTTTTGCCGATTTGAAATGATTTGCTTCTAATTTTTTTAATTTTCAATCAATTTTCTTCATTCAAAGGGTATTTTGGAGTAGAAGTATTGAATTTGTAATTCTTATACTGGAATATTGAATTTATTTATGGGATATTTTATAAATTTTGGTATTAAAAATATAATTTAGAATTATTTATTTTTCCCTTTCAATATTTGTTCTCATTTTTATTCTCATATCCCATTTTTTTAATGTTTTTTACAGGTTTCTAGTTCCGAATATTTTTGTGTTAGTTTTTGTAATGAATCCGGCTGTCAAGATGAGGAATTTTTCCCTGCCACCAAAGGAGTTACTCTGGCGTAAGTATATCTCCCTCTTTTAATTTTAGTGCCCTACTGATTTCCCATTTTTCTTCTCGTCCGATTTTTTATAGAAATGCTTTAAGTCAAGCTTTAAGAAAACGTAATTTAAGTTTTAGCCAATTAACAATAACCGACAGTTATGACAATAATCAGACCTCAGCATTTTTGGAAGCAGGTATGTAGTCAAAACCAATCCGAAAATTAAAGAGAATAAAAAATATTTTCTCCTCAGGATCTTCACCCTTACAAACTTCACTGGATGAAAATACGGAAGTGGAAAACTTAGCTGGCCATCATTTGTTTGTCAATGACAAGGATAGTTCGAGGAAGATCCTGACAAAAGCAGCCTCATTTGTAAGTTATGCTCTCGAAGATATCTAAACTACAAATTTTAATTTTTTCATTCTCCATTTCCTTTAGAACTCCCGTGCCCGACCACCCCGCCTCTTGTCTTCCGCCTCTACGGATGAATCATCCGAAATAAATATGACCGGCCAAAAACAACCCAAACAGCGATGGTCTAGTCTATTTGCTGTCAAGAATCCGCAACAAAGTCAATTATGTGAACTGCTGAATAGTTATTCGAAGAATGGTGTACCCCAGAGAACTCCTGCCACGCTGAATTTTGATCATCCCGATTTGGATAATGCCATTGAGTATTTGGATAAAATGCATAAATCATGGACCGACTTTGTGGAATGTAGTTCTATGAATGATGCCGAGATGAGAATACAGACTGCCATATGGGAATTGGTGACAACGGAGGTGGATTATATCCACTGCCTGCAGACGGTGACAGATGTAAGAAGATCCAGCTAACCACTAATATAAACCTGAGCATTTTCCAAATTAAAATTCTTTTTTCTAGCTCTTCCTGGCCTGTCTGGAATCCGTGCAAGAGGAGGGCCTCCTCAAGGAAGTCGATCAACATCGCCTGTTCGCAAATATCCGTGATATTTGTGAGGCGAATTTGAAATTCTGGACTCTCTATTTGTATCCAATGGTGGCGCATAGCGTACAAACCCGAGAACCATTGAGGATTGGATTCTTTCAATCGGGTTTTATTGCGTTTGCCAATCTTTTTGCTCCGTACAAAAAATATTGTGCCGAACAGAGTACCTGTCAGTTCTATTGCAAAGAATTGAATCGTACCAATTCGCTGTTCACCTCCTATCTGGCATGGTGTGAGGCCCAGAAAATGTGTAATCGTTTACGTTTAGCCGATATTTTGGTGCGCCCCATGCAACGTTTGACAAAGTACAGTTTATTACTGACGGCTATTAAGAAACATATGACAGACATCGAAGAAATTGAGGCTTTAGAAATGATGGTAAGTAGCCAAGGAAATAATCCTGAAATAGGAACAAAATGAATTTAACAGCTGATCAGTTTTTAAATAGAGGTTTTCCTTCATTTATTGCCTAAAAATATGCTCCAAGTTTTGATAGTATATCTGTAAACATGAATAGATTCCAGAAATTCGTTATTCTTGACTCGATGGCCTATACCAAATTTCGTGTAGATCAAACTGACGTAAAGTCCCACTATGAAACCGTGAATTGAGGTCCCCTTTATTTTTGGCTCCTAAAAGTATGCACCAAGTTCATATTACATATATTTCAATCTGAACTGTTTTCAATGAAACCTGACACATGTATTCCCAAGCTACATTCGCTTGCCTCTGCAAAATTTCGCATCGATCGGATAGACGTAGAGCCTCATTTACATAAAATCTGATGAAAATTATACGGCGAACTATATCGAAATCTGAACCGACTTCAATCAAACTTGGCACACGTCAACCTAGAACTAATTCAGAAATTTTTTGCCAATTGGCCGTACTTTGGCTCTTTGGTGCACCTTTTTCTTGAAATCGGAAGAAAATTATGATGGTGGCTATATCTAAATTTGAAACGATTTCTAAAAAAATTAACACACATTGACTTCATTTAGTGGCATATGCAAAATTTCATGTCGTTCGGCCGAACATTGGGCCCTTGAAGCACCTTTTTTCTTAAAATCTGACGAAAGTTATAAGGGGAGATATATCGAAATCTTACCCGATTTCAATCAAACTTGGCATACGTCTTTCGACAGTATTTCATGCCAATCGGCCAAAATTTTGGTCCTTTGAGGCCCCTATTTCTTGAAATCGGGTGAAATTTTAAATGGGACCAATATCGAAATCTGAACCGATTTCAATCAAACTTGACATACGTCTTCCTAGATTTAATTCTGGGACCTATACCAAATTTCATGACAATCGGCCGAACTTTGATCCTTTGGGCACCTATTTCTTGAAATCGGACAAATTTTTATATGGGAGTAATATCGAAATCTGAAGCGATTTCAATAAAATTTAACATACAGTGTCGTAGAATAAATTCAGTGACATATTCAAAATTTCGTGTCGTTCTGCCGAACATTGGGCCTTTGGAGCACCTATTTCTTGAAATCGGACGAAATTTTATATGGGAACTATATCGAAATCTTATCTAATTTTAATAAAATGCAATATACAGTTTCCTAGGCTTAATTCGGTGGTATATGCCAAATTTCGTGTCGATCGGCCGAACATTTGTCCGTTGGAGCACCTATTTCTTGAAATCGGACGAATTTTTATATGGGAGTAATATCGAAATCTGAACCGATTTTAATAAAATTTAATATACAGTTTCATAGACTTAATTCAGTGACATATGCAAAAATGCATGTCGTTCGTCCTAACGTTGGTCTTTTGGAGCACCTTTTTCTTGAAATCGAAACAAATTTTACATGGGAGCTATATCGAAATCTGAACCGATTCCAACCAAACTTGACACACATTATCCTATCCTGTGTAAAATTTTATGTCAATCGGATAAACACAGGACCATTGGTGCAGCATTTTCCAAAAATCGGACGAACTTGTAAAGGCGAAATATATCGAATCTGAAGCGATTTATATCAAATTTGGCACACATTGTTCTAGCCTTTATTCAGCAACCTGTACAAAAGTTCATGCCAATCGGATAAACACAGGACCATTGGTGCAGCATTTTCATAAAATCGGACGAAGCTTTATAGGAGAGGTACTTCGCCCACATCATCCTTAACTCATTTCAGTAGCGTGTACCAAATTTTGTGACGATTGGATAGGCATAGCCTCTTTGGTGCACCATTTAAATGAATTCTGAAGTTGGCGCCTAAAAGTATGCAACAATTTTATAAGGCAACTTGATGGACGAATAAAAGAAAATAAATAAAAACAATATAATTCCAAAATCGGTCTATATAACACCCCGTACAACACTCCGGATTTGCAATGGAGTCGTTGGTGTACATACCATTGACCTGAAATGCGACGAAATTTTTTAGGGGAGCCATAACGAATTCTGAAGCGACTTAAATCGAACATGTGACCCCTTGACTCTTATTGTTTTTATTATTGTTTATTCAGTAAACAATTCAATAATAATTAATTTCCATTAATTTATTAATAAATTATTTATTATACATTACCATTAATTCTCCTTGATTTTTATCCTTTCCAGATCCAAACCACCGAAAATTTTGTATTTAGTGTTAACAACCATTTGACGACCCGACAAGAAAATGAACGCTTAAAAGGAGTTATGGCTCGCATTGAGTCATATGACGTGGTGGTGAGTATTTGGAATTCCATTTGTCCTACAAATTCCACATAACCTCAATTTGCTTCCCTTGCAGGACACCAACAACGAACATCTGGAGAAAATGATCAAGCAGTATAGTCAAATGTTTGATTTGTGTGCTCCAATGAAAGGCTGTGCCTCTCAGCATGTACGTCATCTCTTTATGGAGGGTGATCATCGATATAAAGACAATCTCGGCAAAGCCGATGTGCATTGTTTTCTCCTAACCGATATGCTATTGGTTTGCAAATCGATAGCCAAAAAAGGTCTGGGTACCTTGAAGGTGATACGACAACCCTATCTAACAGATCGCCTAATTGTACAACATTCCAATAATATTTTAAGTTGTGTTTATCTAAATGAATTCCAAGTGGCAGTGAATGCCTTCACATTGCAATGTTCGGAAGCGCAAAAATGGTATGAAGCTTTGAAAAGAGCACGCATGATTTATACCCGATTGAAACAGAGTAGTATATCGACGGCCACGAATTGGGATGCGGCAATGCGTTTTGGTG